TAAAAAGATTTAGGTTTAAGTTTATATTATATATTTGTTAAATGATTCCATAGTTATCAAAATAGGTATACATTAAGGTAAATGGACACCATAACGATATTCTAATGAAGAATGAAATATCTGGTTACCAAACATTTAACAGTGCCTTGTTATTTTGGAACAAATAATTGAAGCTAGATAAATCAATGTATCTCTCTCCAATAGTTAGACCAAAAACAACTGAGTATAATTGTTTAAGTTGTGGAATGCATATATTTAAAGTCTTTTTTTTCCCTATCTCTTACAATTATTCTCTAGCTAGTTTTATCATGAAGATTGAACTAAGTTACTTGTTATTGCTTTGTAAGAAAACTCTCTTCAGCAATATCATAAATAAAGGAAGGTATAAAGGCTGAAATATGGGTTTACTTCATTCTTCTAAGTTATTCCAATTTTAGGTTTTCTTAAACCCTAAATTCTAGTGACAGAACCCTAATACTTAAAGATACTTCAAATTTTGTGTTTGCAGCTTCCGGCGAGCCACCGCTACTTCTAGCAGCTGTGGTTCACTGTGCTATTAGAGCAGCAATCAAAGAAGCTAGAAAACAGCTTCTTTCATGGAAAAACTCAGATGAAATTGATAAACCATTCCAATTGGATGTGCCAGCAACCATGCCTGTGGTAAAAGAATTTTGTGGATCGGACATTGTGGAAACATACTTGAAATGGAAAATGGGCAAAATGTGAAGGTTCTCAACATCTTGCAAATAAAGTGAGCATTTTATGTTCCGATGTTGGGGAAATATGTACTTGTTTTTTCAATGTGGTGTTTCATATATTTTTCATTTTCATATCCTCAAATTTTAATGTATACCGTAGCATTATTATAGATTCTAGGAAGTTCACTTTATCTTTGTTTCTTGTAAATTTGGTGTTTTGGATAGTAGAACCACGACTGCCGAAGGGTGTAGAATTGAATGATTTGGTTAAATTTGCATTATATATGGCTGAAATTAAAGCATCCAAAAGTAATGGGTTTTGAATGAAAATAAACACAGGAATTAATCATAAGAAACTCAATTATATAATTAGCTAACTAAAAATTACAGTGATATGACAAGCAAGCAATTTATTGAGTGCAATTAGCTAGCTTTAAGATATTAATCCCCCAAACATGTGCTTAAAAAAAAAACACTTATATTTTAATGTGAAATTCACAACAAAATAGAGCATTGAATCAATCAATCACATGCAAATCACCCTTAAGATGATGGGTCAACCGATCAAAGCATATATGTAATCCTTACATCATCAACAGAAACTGAATTCATGCTTTATAAATGCTCAATTGATAAAAGTTCAGAAAACAGAAATTTCAAAGGAGAAAAGAGATGGAATGAAGATAATCGAATCAAATCTACAACGGTAAGCTTTGGATTCCAATAAGCATTAGGATCGTGATCTCGAAGCTTTGTTGTCAGTGGAAACTTCCAATTTTATTTATGTTTAAATGAAAATTTTTTTAAATATATATTATATTCTCTCTCATAATTAATGAGTTTAACAATGAGTAATATTTAAAAAATTAATTAATATCTTAACAAATTCTTTATGGCCTGTTCTTGGAAAAAAAATTTATTTTGTGAGACTATATAATGTTTGTTTGAGAATCAGGAAAAAAAATTATCAAAATCTAGAAGAAAAAAAAATTACATTTTTAATTATTTTGAGAAGCTACTTCAGATAGCTTTTAAAACCATGCTTTTTGGGTCTTTCAAGATAAATGAGGTTTTTCCAAAAATTACTCTTAATTAAAGAATATAATTAATAAATAATTTTAATTGAGATACTTTATTAAATAAAAATAAAAATAATAAAAGTGCGTAAATTAACTATTAAAGAGACGTACTTCAATGAAAAGTATTTTACAATATTAAATGGAATGAGTTTTTTTTTTGGGGTGGGGGGGAATGGGACTTGTGTATTTTTTTTAATTATTATTGAAAGGAATATCACATCACTCCATTCATTTTCAAATAATAATCAATTTAGAGTTACACTCGTGGAGGGAAAAAAAAACTATTAAATAACTTAACTTCCAGCAAAAATGCAGTAATATTTTATCAAAACCTCTCGTTTATTATATTTCAGTATTTTACATCTTAATGACTTTCTTTTTTAGTACAAGAAGTAAACCCACATCTGCTTCAGCACACCGGAAAAGGAAATTTATCCTGTTTTACGAACCAGAAACAGAGCATGATTCTTCTTCTGGGTTTGACGGAGTTTCAGCCAAAAAAACTCCTTCTTCATGCATGATAACATGAGGGGCCTTCATGAATCGCAGCCTCATGAAGGTCCGTCAACCAGCGCTGCAGCTTTTTGGAGGGTGTTCGCGCATCGTCGTCTGGTTTTTGAGTCGTTGGTCTGGGTTTCTTGTTTTTGTTAAGATGTTCAATGTTTTTTTTTTTTAACAGATAAGGTTCTTTTAAAGCCAAAGCTTGTACAAGTTTGGAATTTCAAATCCAAAGGAATGTTTCTTATCAAGTTGATTTCCAGGTTTCAAGGAAATCAATTTTCTCTCTTGCTCGCTGCGCTTTTCAAAACTTGTCATGGATCAGTCTCTGACTGGTTACTTATTTATTATTTGCGAGCATCAACAAAATTTGTCTGTGTTTGGAAATATTGCAATGTTGCAAGCCTGTTTGGTTTATATTCTTATTTTCTGCTTTTAAAACTTATTTTATAATACAGTTTTTAATATCATTTTTGAAAACAAAATAAAATAAAATCATTTTTATAATATCAATTAAAAATAATTTTAAAATTAAAAATAAATTTATGGTGATAGATATAAGTAGTTAATAATGATGATTAATAATAAAAATTTATCAAGATAATTATAATTTTTAATAATTAAATATAGTGTATTTTAAAAATAAAAAACATAAAATAAAAATAACTTGAAGTTGTTTTAATTTTTTTATTTAGAAATAATTAAACAACAAATACATATTCAAATAAATTTTAAAATTTTTTTATTTAAAAAAATGTCCGTATTTTGCTTCGCTGTTTCTCTTTGGGTTTGTCTTCGGTTTTCGATGTTGGTTCCGTTACTCTGTTTGTTTAGAACGTTACTCTGTTTGTTACTATGGGTTTTTAGTGTTTATTCTAAAGGCCCTTATGGTTTGGCCAAAAAAAAAAAGGCCCTTATGGTTGCACTGATCAGTTTACTGTTTTTTTTATTTAAATTGACTTCATTTAAAAAAAAAAAAACAAGAAGAAGTATACGCACCTTGTTCACGAAAGTATATTTGTTCACCTACTAAACATCAAGATATATACTCTGCCATATCTGCATGAAAAGTAGATGAGAGAAAATATGGTAAAAATGTGGAAATATACTAAGATATCTTAAAGTTTGAAAATAATTAAATAATAAATTATTTTCATAAAACAAAAATTCCTAAAGATAATATAAAATCTAAAAATAATTAATTAATAATCACTTTTTTATTATTATAATCAAACATAAAATAATGTCTATTTTTCATAACATCTCTGCAAAATAAGTATTTTTTTATAAAAAAATTTAAACTATCTAAAAATCACTTTTTTTATTCTTCATCTTATTGGAAACAATTCTGTTTGAGGTACAGTTAAGTATTGAATGTGAATATCTCTTTGATCAAGGATTTGAACCTAAATAACTTATTTTTTAATCTTAAATAAATGGGCCCTTGGATGGCATTAAACAAGTAAATTGAGGTCCTTAGATTTTATGTGACTTGCCTGCTGAAAAAGTTTTCACATTAATCCTTAATTAAAGAGAATTTGTTTTGGGAGTATTTGCACAGGAGCAATTCGGACGTTGATTAAAGTTTAATAATGTGAGACAATTTGCATCCCTTCTTTTTTTATTGAGACATGTGATATCATGTTTATGGTATCATATGACTTGACATTCTAACTAGGTATTCGTCATTCAAAAAATATGTTAACGTTGGCTAGTCAACTGTGTCACAAGTTTTAGATATGTTAACCTCAGCTAGCTAGACAACAAATATTATTGTCATAAGCTATATATATATACAAGCTTATTATTATCTAGCCATTTGTTAGCTTAAAAAAGCTTTCGGTCTGTATTAATAATGGTAAACATTATCACATGCATGCTTTAGTTTTTAAAAAAAAAACAACAACGAAATGGAATGGATGCCACTTGACTCGTCATTTATTTGTTTGAAGTGGGAAAAAACAAACCTTGTTAGCTTGCACTGAGACTATTAAACAACAGATCAGCAAGGTATTCATTAGTTAATAATACGATGTCATAGTAACCCCTAAGACTTCAGTCCAATCTATTCATTTCAGAACATTTATGGTTAACTAATTAAACTTCTCTGAACTTTGGTTAAACTTTACTTATATTTAAAAATGGAGGGAACTAGTTAAGAGTATCAGCTACACGTGTTATTATAAAGGATATGTAATAAAAAATTAAGTGAATGTAATACAGATGGTGGCAGTCTGATCTATTTAAGTATCATGTCAGAGTTCAATTCTTAAAGATGTGCATCTCTTAGAAAGAGAACAAACTCTTAAATATAGTATTCAAATTTTTTGAGAAATTAATCTTATAATTGCTAGCCAATTATATTAATAGCAAAGCTCTCTCAATAAGTATTTAATATAGTTGTAACATATTTAGGACTCAAACTTGACATGAGAATACCTTGACAACCCAAAAAAAAAAAGATATGTTAAAAATAAAGAATAATTCGCTTTCGCACATCGACCGCCAACCACATTGTAATCGTACATAAATATAAATTTGACTTTTCCATAGTCCAAAACCCAAATATATAACAACAGTAACAATAGGCCCCAGCAGATATATGTACACAATTATTTGAGGTATCATCAAGATTATTCATATAAATTGTGGATAAATATAAATATAAAGTTGACCTTCCCCAAAACTCGTTATAGAAGAGCAATAAACTGAACAAGCAAATCAATTAAACTTTTTTTCTCATAAAGTATTCAAAATAAAACTGAAAATTACAACCAAAATGGAATCGGATAATTGTCATAAACAAAATCACAATACATCAGTACTTTTTCGCTGGATTGAAAATGATAAAAATGACAGATGACGATAGAGAGCTAAAATAAGTCAAGAAAAAATTAAAATCTAAAACTTTTTGAAAACTGATCCACGAACATAAATTGGATCTTCATTTTGTGAAGAGAATGAGAGTAATTAAGCCGCAAGTGGAACCATGGACTCTCTCTGAACAGCTTTCAGGAGCAGGCTATCAGGTTCGAGAACCATCTGAAGAGGAACAAAGCCAATGCCATGAGCCATAGCAATCATCATCTTCTTCGTCTCTGCTTCGAACTCTCTCAGATCAACTCTTCCGTTCAAGTCATGATCGAACTGCACAAACATTGACTCATAAACACGACCAGCCTCGTCTGCTTCAATCTTCACGTCGATGCCAAAATGAGTCTCAAAAACCCTAAGCCTCTTCAACTCTTTCAGCATCTCACCATAAGAAAGAAGACCGTCCTTGTCGGTATCAAGTTCAGAAAACAGATCACTGACTGATACGTGAAAGGCTTCTTCGTCCTCCACGAAGTTCACTATTGTGGAACCGTCTAGAATTTCTACGCTCATATTTTTGCCTTTAGTGGAGAAAAAGGAGTCTGAATGTGAGTGTTTGTGTTTGATGATGAGAATTAAGGTTGGAGATCGATGTCGGAGGCATTTATATAGATTGGAGCAGAAATGTTGTGTGGCTTGGGATCGTTGGTTGAGCTTTTGTCAAAGTTTTTTCAAAAGAGAATGAGAGAGGTCTCAGTGGAACAATTAATTCAAATCAAATTCTAAATGAAAAATTAAATTTATAAATTTGATTTTCAATTTTATAATTTCATTATAATAAATTTATAATTTATATTTTAAATTTTAACATATTTATTTTTTTAATGATATAAATTTAAAAATAAATTATAAATTTATTAAAATAAAATTAAAAAAATTAAAAAATAAATTTATAAATTATTTAAGTTTAACATTTGAAATTTACTTTAAATTAATTGATTCTTTCAGAAACACTCCATGATCCCCCCCCCCTTTTTTCAATTCCAAGACAAACATGCACCGACTTACTTTATTCATTCCCGCATGCAGTTGCATTGTAACTGTCAGAAGAACTGTGATAACTGTGAATAAATATTCTTTTTTTATTTTTGCCAAAATGAGTGGGTTGTAAAGATTTTTTATTAAAAACAATCTTATTTAAAATAGATATTAAATTAAATAATTATTTTAAAAGAGAATGAAAATAAAAATTAATTTATCTCAGGACTTAATTGTTATTCTCCTATTATCATAATTAATAAATAAGGGTATTTTAGTATAAAAAGGGTGACAAATTAAGACTATTAAAAAGAATTAAGGAGGGGGAACCTCAGCATAATTTACGCTTGAACTTGTGGACTCATTGATATTGTGACCCCTTTTGAGAGCATAAACCAGAAATTAAGGTATTATTGTGCTATTAGAAGAAACCTGGGGGCGGGATCAAGTGCGAGCACCCCTTTTTGCAAGCCAGTGGGCTGCTCTATGCTCAAAATCAGTTGGCGGAGTGTCGACGCGTGGAAGTCAATCACCGAAGAAAAACGTTGCCCACCATGGGCATTGAACAAATGAACAGTACACTAACTTTATAATATACTCCCTTCTTCTTCAAGTATAGGAAAAAGAAAAAAAAAAAGGAAACATATTCATAATTTAAAAAAATATAATAAATGTTTGTAAATAAAAACAAAGAGACATTTCTATTGAGTAACATGCAATCACGCAAATCCACTGATTATTTCTCATTCTCCACTAATTATACCATGTTCCCCAATTTCGGTTTGACAAGGTGGTTGCTTTGTTGGCAAATACTTAGTACCACACTAATGCTATTGACAAAAATTGACCCACTTAATAAAATTTGATTCATAATATATAACGTTATAGAATAATTAAATTTTATTATTGATGTGACGACATTATTGATGAAAATAAAGCTTTTCAAAAGTCATTACTAGCATCAATTTACAACATGTGCTATCCTTTGTCGGGGATTCTAAGTGGAAAAGGATGTTGACACGTACAAGTTTTATTTTCCAATGGGTTTTGTCATACAAGGAAACTAAAATCTCCTTATATAAGCATAGTGTAGGGGATTAGGATAGACGGTGCATGATTACAAGTAGACAAAGCACCACCATAATACTAATTAACTTTTTTTTGTAAACATAATGAGTAGGTTTCACTGACAGCAAAAATTATCTCTCTCATAATATTAAGAGTATATAGTGACTCTCTTCCAATTAAATTATTATATATACAAGAGTTGATATTCAAACTATACCATATCTCATGTTTAAATAATAAGATCCTCACCACTCACACTAATTTTATTTAGTTTACTAAAGAGTTTTATTATAATTAAAAAGAGGTGCAAGTGCTTTCATACCTTTATAAAGCATGAATGATTAACAAAAATTAGTTCAATTGATAAAAAATTGACTCATAACTCAAAAGATTGTGAGATCAAATTATGTTGCTAATGTAAGAATTTTGTTGGTGCTAATGTACCCAAAGACATGTCTCAACTTTAATAAGTCCCAAGAACCTAACTCACTTAAATGTTTTATTATATATATATATATATATATATATGAACATGAGTGAAAGTACGGGAGTTTTTCTCTTTATAGAGAAAGTTGTAAACTTCCTCTTATACAAGAAGAGGAGGGAGGAGATTCACTATTGCTGTATTCATAACTCACTTTTAAAACGAACTCATTCACATGCATGTTATTGAAGAAATCAAATTAGTCTAATTGTGTTGATGTTATCAAAATTGTAACCTTTTTTCGAAAAAAAATGTATTTATACACATACCAGATCAGACAATCTTATTCATTTCTCTCATTCTTTTTTTTTCTTTACAATAATTAGTTAATAAAAATAATATCCTTTTTTCTAAACTGATTGTTGAACTGGTTTAGGTGATTATTTTTAACCGGTTTTAAATATGTTTGTTTCCATTAGTGAGTAACTCATAGCTATAAAAACATGAAAATACTTGAGAAGTTATCTTGTAAGAGTGGATTTTAATCCTTTTACATTGTGGCAAACTGACCCTTGATAATTAATCTCTTTACATTTGAAAGTTATAAGAACCTAATATATATTACTTTGTTTTTGTATTATGAATCTCTTCTAAAACATACCTTACAATATGCTTTCTCCAAATTACAATGTAAGTCATTTTTTAAAAGTTTTGTTTGGTTTAAAATATTGGTCATTGTATAAGTATTATACATTTATTCTAATTATACCTTACTTTATTGAGTAATTAATGAGAATGCTTTAAATAAGTAAAATGTTATGTTTATTATACTTAATAGTATGATCGAAAAGATATAAAAATTAAAAAATCAAAATTTTAACTAATATTTTTTTAAAAGCATAAATTAATTAATAATAATTTATATTTTAGTCCATGGGAGTACACGACAGAGAATACTAAATAAAGCTTGTTTCTTTGGTAGTACACTATATTGCATCCGTGCGTGTACTTGTATTTTCTCGGGAGATATTCATGCTGTCAGATGTGATTTTCAATTACCATAAAAAATAATATATTTATTTTAAAAATAGAATCTTATTGAAATGAAAATTTTTAAATTTACATTATATTATTTTTTATTGTTAATAAATTTATATAGAGAAAAATATTATAAAATTGTGATTCATATTAAATCAAGTATCTCAGATTAAGGATAAAAAAAATCTTTTTAGAAAGTGTTATGCAGTAATATAATAATAAGATTAGAAAAGAACGCTAATTCATACATGTATAGGAATGTCAAAGAACAAATCGGAATAAACTTAGAATATTCCCATTCGAAGCTTTCAATCTTTGGCACGAGAAAAGAGGAACACATGTAGCATTGACTATTACACATATGTATAGAGCTGAACCCACAGGTAGGTTCAGCTTATAAGGGCCTAAACTTTGAAATTTGATTTTTCGTTTTGAACTTAATTTTTTAAGTCCGATTTTTATATGAAAGGTTTAAGGATGGACCTGCAAGCTTTTTTTAAAAAAATAAAAAAAAATTAAAATAAAATTAAACATTATAAATTAATTAAAAATTTTAAAATTAAAAAATTAAAATTTTTATAATTTTTTAGAAATTAAACAACACATATTTAGAAGTCTAGTAATAAAAATTTAAATCTTGATTAAAAAAATTTTGTTTTTTATAAATACACAAACATAATAATTATAAAAAATAAAAAATATCAAAAATTTTATACTATACACTGATATTGTTAAATTATATTAAATTAATTTTAAAATAAATTAAAATTAATAATAATATAATGTGTATAGGATCAAGTGAGCAAGTCATTAATTTCAAATAGGTATTCCACCAAAAAAAAAAATAACAGAATTTGAAAGGCTGCCTCTACCTAAGCTTTTTTAACAAGACTTATCAATGTCAAGCTTTCAAACCCGATTATTTTTAAAAAATTATTTTTAAAATTTAAATTTTTATTAATAGGGTCTTTAAATCCAGCTCTTCAACTCAACTTTTATTGGTGACTTTATATATATATATATATATATGTATGTATGTATGTATGTATAGTATATAAAGGTCTCTTTATAGTTGGCACTTGGCTCCATTGACGGTCAGTCTGATGCTTGTGATTCGGACCACAGTTTTAAGACCCACTGATTTTTCAGGCGCTCGTTGGTAAACCTTTTTCTCGGAGGTTGCTCCACCGGCTATGTTTTTTCTAAGTTTTTCAACCAAAAAATTATCTTTTTTACCGGTGGCAGAATGACAAGTAAACAACGTGTAAAAGATAATGACAAGTTAAAAATTCCAGTACTGCAACATGAAAGACAAAGCACTGAGTTTGAAAACTTTAGTACTAAAAAAAATCATAATTCGACGTTAACTTTCTTTTGAAGTCCTTACTGGTCATACTCCTTTTTTTTTATTGCTATAATTAGGTGATTTTTAGCAATTTATGCTCATTTTGAAACTTAAATAATTAACCAATAGTATGTCATATTTTTTGTACAGTTATTTGAATCCTAAATTATATGTCAAAAAGTATTTGGGCACTATAAATTTACTTTTAGTGTGATGTTGTCATTAATCTCTGAAAGCAATACAATATCAACCATACCATTATTAGTTGATAAAAAATAGTTAGAAAATAAACTAAAAATTATAAAATGACTCAAAAATTATAAATAATGATCTAAAATGTTACAGAAAGGAGTAATTTCTTGGTATTTTTTTTTATTTTTGAAGTTTTTTCTTAATTTTTATCTAATTAATTGTAAAAGTTAATATTTGAATAACATGTGTCATATTGCACTGTTGGAAAATGTTGAAAGAGAACATTGGTGCCAAAAACAAGTTTATAAAGTCACAGATGTTATGGAACCTATAATGTACGATCCAAATTGCCATTTAATATTTTTTTATATTATACATCAAAGTACTTAATTATACATATTTTTCATAGTTACTCCCTCCATTTCGAAGACAGGAGACAGTTTCAAAACGAACTCAAATAATTTAAGAAAATTAGTTGATCATGATAATCATGTCAAAATTAAAATATTATACTTAAATGTACTTGTAATTAATGTTTATTTTTTCCTTTAATAATTTAATGATATCATCTATTGTGATAGATAATTTAAGGGAAAATGACAACAAAATCTCTTCCAATTATATAAATGATAATTTAGTCCCTCAAAATGTCATAATACTAATGAAGTCTCCAAAGACCACTTTATCAAATAGCTTTTTTAGAGAAAAGATTATTTTCCTTATTAAAAAATTATGATTTCTATTCAAATTTGCAATTTTTTTGAGAAAAGTTGTGGTTTTTTAATAAAAATTACAAATAGAGTTTTTTTATCTTGAAACTTATTTTTCAAAATAAAAAACACTTGATAAATTGTGATTTTTTATTCAATTCTTGCAATCATAGAATAAAATTGTTATTCCTTAACTAAAAGTTGTAATTGGAGCTTGTTTTTTCAATAATAAAAATTACACTTGACAAGTTGTGATTTTTTATTAACTCTTATGATGATTTACAGATAAAGTTGTGATTCTTAAAAAAATTATAATTGGGTTTTATTATTTTCATAAAGATAAAATAGTCTTTTTTCTAAAAAAATTATTGGCAAAGAGGTTTATAAGAATTTCATTGAAATAATAACATTTTGAAGAATTAAATTATCATTTATTTAATTGGATGAATTTTATTGCCATTTTCCTTATTTAAAAGAATATATATTAATACTTCTTAAAATTTGTAATTTTTTTCACAATAAAATAAAAAATATATATTGAAAACAGAGCGGTATCCCAATAGTTACAATAAAATTGCATCCATAGGAATCAAAAAAGTAAGTCGGTGTTGAATTGCCTAGAAATTAAGAAACTTTGACAAAACCTCGGCCAACGGTCACAAACCATTCAAGGTTGGTACTCAGAAAGAAAAGCATTGCGTGTTTTCCAACAAAAACTACTTATCACTGTAACCACACTTTTATCTCCAATCTCTATATAATGGCTCCAACATCTCCAACCTAATTCTCATCCTCAAACACAAACACATTCATATTCCTTTTTCTCAGTTACAGGCAAAAATATGAGCGTAGAAATTCTAGACGGTTCCACAATAGTCAACTTCGTGGAGGACGAAGAGGCCTTTCACGTATCAGTGAGCGATCTGTTTGCTGAACTTGATACCGACAAGGACGGTCTTCTGTCTTACGGTGAGATGCTGAAGGAGCTGAAAAGGCTTAGGGTTTTCGAGACTCACTTTGGGATCGACGTGAAGATTGAAGCAGACGAGGCTGGTCGTGTTTATGATTCTTTGTTCGTGTTCGTCATGTCGATCATGACTTTGAATGGAGGAGTTGATCTGAGAGAGTTCGAAGCAGAGACGAAGAAGATGATGATTGCTATGGCTCATGGCATCGGCTTTGTTCCTCTTCAGATGGTTTCTCGAACCTGATAGCCTCCTCTTGAAGGCTGTTCAGAGAGAATCCATGTTATCCACTTGCTGCTTAATGGGTCCTTTAAACTACACGATCATGGCAATTTAATTACGGATTGGGATTTTGTTTGTGACACCTATGGGATTCAATTTTGGTTGTAATTTTCAGTTTTATTCAGAATACTTGGAAGAGTTTTTTAAGTACATGTAACGGTTTATTAGTCAACTATCAATCAATTTAGTATGTTGCACTAGCCTAACGTACGTAATTTGGTTGTGTGTGGGTTGGGTGTGCGAAAGCGAATTATTCTCTTGTTTCGCATCTCTTAATCTAACAGTTTAGGACTTGATAGTACTCCTTCATTTTTAAATATAAGTAAATTTTAACAAAAGTTTAAACAATTTAGTTAATCAAATACCTTAATTGAAAAGCTTGGACTAAGTCTCTAGATTTAATGTGATGACATTGATTGATTTAATAAGGAAAAATTTCCACCTTGCGGCTCCCAACTGAGAAAATTTACAATTAGGATCCAGTGCATCCTGAATTCTTCCTTATGTTGATCCTTGAGAGCTTTTTTGGTAGATATGTTTTTAAGAAAAAAAGACACAATTCCTTATTTAAAAAAAAGAACTTTAGATTCATTATAAATAAACAATTAATTGTTAATATATAAACTTAAAGTTGTGAATTTATGAATTTCTTGTTAAAAAAAACTTGCTGTTACGATAAACTTAAATTACTTCTGAATATATTTAATTCATAAATTCTAACTTTAATTTGTGAATCGATAGACTTATACTTATGAATATTAAAATTTTAAATTGTAATTTTTAAATTTTGATCTACATGAACTTGTCAACTCTTAATAATAATTTTAACTACTAATGAACAATTAACTTATTAATATATAACCTTGAAATTGTGAATATGTGAACATCTTATATAAAAATCTAAACTTTTACTTGTTATTTTTTTTCTCACTAAGGACACTTGTACCTTTTATTCGTAAAACATATTTATAATTAAAAGAGTCCTTGAATTTGTAGAATATTTTAAAATGTATTGGCTCTTAAATGCAATTTTTCTCCTCTTGGCCCCTCAGTGTGATTTTCCCTTCGTAATTAATGAAATTAATGAATGCCTTGCTGATCTGTTGCTTAAGCATCGATCGGCGCAGCTAGCAGCTTTGTTTTTTCCCCTTTGTTCTTCTCCTCTCTCTCTCCCTCTCATAGATGACTAAGTGGTTGGTCAAGTGGTACCCATTTTCTTTTCTTTCTCAGATTTTTTTTTTTAAAACTAACATGTGATGATGTTGACCATTAATACATGCCCAAAGATTTTTTTTTTTTTCAGCTAACAAATGGCTAGATATAATAAGCTTGGATGTAATATATATAATACTAACTTATGACAATAATAATAGTTGACTAGCTAATGTTATTGACATATTTATAACTTGTTACAACACTAGCAGTCAATGGCGGACATATGTGAACTTGAGAGTGGGCCAGATGCCCCTTGAAATCTAAAAATTGCATGAATATTTTTGTCTAATTTACTGTATGACTCCTCTCATATTTTGACATGCCCCCCACTGCCCGCTAGTAGAAAATCAGATAGCAAACTAAGAAATAGGGAAAGGAGCAAAGCGTGTGGTGGCCTATTGAGATTAACCCAGAATAATGATTTCAATCAAACAGAAGCAGCCTAAAAATAAAAAGTAAAACAACAGCTACTTTAATTTGTTTTATAATTTTATCTTATGCGTTAATTAAAAGAATTTGGAAGGAGGAAACCTATATTGTAAATGGTTGACGTTCTTATATTAAATATTTTTTAAATAATTAAACATGATTTTATAATAAATGGTTTTCAAATTTTTGTATTTTGAATTTGAATAGAAAATAAAATAACAAGTTAAAAGAAAATTAACATCAAGATAAAATATAAGATACACAATTGTTTTAAACTTCAAGAAAATGCATGAGATATGCTCAAATCATCATCATTACATAAGTAATAATAATTATTTAAAGCTCATAAATCAATTTTTTTACATATTAATTCATAATAAAATTTTCCATCAAAATAAAAAAAAGTATATATAGTTTATTCAATTTCACACACCACCACATATATATATTTCTTTCACATAATTTAAATATTTATACAAATATATTAATGTTATACCATTTTAATATTATTATGTATAACTTCACATGATTATTGCATAACCATATTCTTTAAAAAAACTGCCCCCGCTAATTCTAGATCATGGCTCTGCCATTGGTAGTAATGAACTACTAGTCAATGTTAATATATTTTTTGAATGACGGATTATACCTAGTTAAAATGTCAAGTCATATTAACCTTAACTATGATATCACATAATAATTTCAAAAAACGTAGGGGTATAAATTGCTTCACATTATTATTAAACATTAATCAAAGTACTAATTGCTCCTTCACAAATGCTTCCTGAACAAAAATGCTCTGTTCTCTTCCAGCAGCCAAATGACTCCAAAGGCTTTAAACCGAGAAACTTTTTCATGCATATATAGTCGGTTTATGGACCTCAATTTACGTGTTTAAACCTTTAACGCTATCTAAATTTGCTAGATTTAGGTCATTTTGCAATTTTTTTGAAACATGGGGGGAGTTTTACTTTTTACAAATTTAAAGATAACAATTGTTGCTTGCATAAAATCAGATAAGAATGCCATTTGGCCTTAAATTATATGCCTCTTTAATTCTATTATAAGGCACAGCTACCTTACAGGAATCAATGTGGTTAATTCATTAATTTTATTTAAAAATAAAATAAAATTTTAATTTTATTTATATTTAATTAGAGCCTATAATTAAGTGGGTAGTGCTTATTTTAGATAGAGCTGAGAAAACGGGTTGGCCTAGCCTTATAGGGTCAGCCCTTTGCAGGCTCGAACCTAAAAGGATCAGCCTGTTTAAGTTCAAGTTTCTTTTAAGACCTTAATATACGAAACTCGACCCTTGACATAGTGGGCTTAGCGCTGACTTTGCGGGCTTTAGGCCCTTTTAACTATTTTATTATTGTTTTTTTTTTAAATTTTAATCAAACAAAAAATTACTTTCTTCTAATATAATACCCAATCAAAAAAAAGTTATGAAAAAACTAACTAAATTACATCTAAATGAACTAAAAATATAACTAAAATGATAGCAAGATAAAAAACAATGGATCGGCTAAGCTAATAAATACTCAATTGAGATTAGATGAGATTGAGGGATTGAGATATGGAACTAGGAGATCGAGGAAAATAAAGAACGCGAGCACGATGTGTGCATCAGATAGAGCTTAACTCATAAGTCACGAATGCACGAGCATGATAGGTGACAGGAGGACTTGGGAGACCAATGACAATGAGTGTCACCTAGTGGAGCGTTGTTGAGACTTGGTTCTTGGGAGGGAGCACTATTATATTGGAGTCGGCAACAGGAACAATAAAGATTGCACAGAAACAGAAGCAAGGATGATTTGTGAGTTGCGCGTGACAGGAACGAGGATGGCGATGCGATGACTTGTAAAGAGCAAAGACAACTTGCAATGGCAAAAGGAGAGAAGCATAGTAAGAAGAAAGAAGAGTAAATGTTGAATTGAATGAATCCTTATTGTAACTTTAGATGAATTACGGGGACTTAAAGTTGTATTGGTTTTTGAAAAATAGCAATCAAGGATCTTTGTATGAAATTTATATCAATCAAGTACCAGTTGTTGTAAAAATCTGAATGAAAAATAGCTAAATGAACTGTTGTTTAATTTAAAATGAGTTGTTATTAAAACTCGAATGAATACTTGTTGATAAAG